TGGCTTTTATATTGGGGGGGACATGTCCCCCCCGTCCCCCCCGCTTCCTACGCCGCTGTATTCAAGGATTGACTAACCCTCAAAGAATTAAAATTAAATGTTCCTTCTGTCCATGCACTTGTTCAAATAATTAGCAGAAGTAATTGGAAAGTAGGTGGCACTGCCAACCATTGGAGCAGCTCCATGCATTTGGCACGCAGCGGAACAGAGGGATTCATTGTCGGAGCAGATTGAGCATCTGGATATTTAGCAGAAGATAGAGCTTTGATAATAATTGGATCATCACTGCAACATTCGGATTGTTCTTGTGTACATCTGTAGCAAAGGTGCACATCTGTGGCATTCATGGTGTCCCAGTGATGTGAAATTTTTTAAAAGATATTAAAAAAAACAACTAAGCAGCAGCCTCTATTAGCTTGTGAAGCATGCATGCTTAAGTATTAGGTATGCATGCATGGAGCATCATTTACCCAAAGCTTCCCATCTCCCTTTGAAACTTAACAGAAGGCTGATAAGTAACAATGTGGAAAGGGTCTACAAGATAGGCTTCCTGCAAAATCTGTTTTTTATATGCCATTAATCATCTCTTACATAACAGTAGGGCTTAAAAGCTTTTTTTCTTTCCTTCAAAAGTTTAAAGGCTCTGCTAAGACGTCATGTGCACTACTTATGTAATCTGTATATTTTTACCCAAAACTGGTTCATGACATTTCTGGTGACAGCTCAACATTTTCCAGAAATAGAAACACATAACAGGGAATATAAGTCGTCTGCACACCTCTGTTAAAATGTCGGGTTTTGGTGACAGAAAAAAATGAGGGCATGACAAATCATTTTAATCGTTCTTTAGGTATAATTTGACATTTTTCCTGTGATTCAACTGAAAAATGAATAAATTGTGGATCATAGCAGCACAGCAAACCATAATGTGAATGCTTCCTTGCATAAGCGTGTAGACCCCAGCTGCTTGGAATCTTGCAGCATCCTATAACTTAAATTTGATATTACTTGTTCACTCTGTCTTTTAAAGTTCTTCAATATGTATCAGACTTTGCAGATCATTTCTCAGGATTCCTGTAAAAATGTAGTTCTGCACTTTGGTAGGTTACTCATAAAATTCTAACGAAAGCTCTTTTAAAATTTTCAGTCATGTTTGTAAGCTTGTTTTTTGCAGACACAGATAACTATTTAAGACTTAACCAATTGTGAAAAGAATTCGAATTTTAACTCCACAAAATGGTGCTACCACCATTTTAATGTAGATCTGATGGTATTTTGTTAATCTGCTGTGTTGTTTGTGGCCAAAAGTTAGAGTTTAGTTTAACAGGACAGCTAAATAGTATCTGTAAGAAATCAGTTCCTCTGTAACTTTTGACAATTGTCTACCTAAAGGCAGCTATTCAATTATAAAGCAATCATTTAAGCATTTGCAGCAGGTTTTATGCAACTTTAAGTAGATTTCTTTTTGGTTCTTCAGTGTTATTTAGGCTTTGATGCATTAAACATGGATAACATTCTGTAATTATTAAATATATGTTATTATTGAAGGTGTTGAAATCTAAAAACATTTTAACAAGGGTGTAAGGGAATTTGAATTTGATTGATTTTATATGCACGAAACTTGCATGTTGTTGCCTTGCATAGCATCTTGAAATCTCTTGACCTTTGACTGATCAGTTTAATCTCCAAACTATTTAGCTTGCAATGACTGAACAAGTTTACTAAATCTGTTCATTTTTCTGTAATCATGGTTGTAATATCTTATCCAGCCAAATAAGAACAGTAATGTGTGCACATTGAACAAATTATTAATGCACTTATGCTAACTGCTTTTTAATTTCCCTTAATCGCCTTCAATGACTGGTACTGTTTCCATGTTTGCATCTTTGCATAACTTAACACTAAACCAGCTGACTTCACTGTCCTTTTCATGACCTTGGCTGAGCTGTTTTTCTCTGCGCTGTCATAGGTCGTGGTGTTCGAAGAGCAGGAAACAGATGGTAAACTCCACTTCACCAAAAGCCCAGACTATGGCATGACTGTTGATGTCCAGTGAGAATAAGAGAGACAGAGAGAGCATGAGCAGAGCCGACATAACTGCTGTGAGCTGTGTTTACATGGATCTGGGCCACTTGTCCTGATCAGAGGGACTAAGGTGTCAAGAAGACTTTGAGTTGTCTTTCCTTTTTTGTTTATTTAATCATGCATGTTTATTCAAGCATTTATTTTAATATTTCTTTTATTTAACCTAATTAATTACATGAACGTTCATACAGATTTAGGAAAAATTGTTGTGATTATGTGTGATTTGTAGGTATCCTTTGGTCTTTGTTGTTTGTGGGGAAAAAAATCAATAAAGCCTGTTTTGACCTCTGTTTGCAACCAAAGCCACAGAAGCTTGTGAGCTATTTATTTTCTCCAGCCTTTCCTGCCTAATCCTCTGAAGATTCACTGAAAGCCTCTGCAGAGATATCAAGGTTACAAAATCCCTTTGAAAATAATGTTTTTTTGTTGTAGCTTCATGATAACTTCATGATATTCATGTCTTCAAGCATTGTCACTGCAGTTGTTTCTGGCTGAAAACTACTTTAAATATCTACCTGATTCACATCTTAGTGACCACTTTATACTACTTTAATTTTTAATGTATTTCATGCAGAATTTATTTTATAATTGAAGAAAAATTGATTACAATGTGAATATACAGATTTTCAAATCTTCCCTATACAGATTAAAATGTTTTAAGTGAGGCATGTATTTCCATTTAAACCTTCTGAATCATTATTTCTTAAAACCTTCTTTCAGTTGAAAATCTTTGCAGAGTCTAGACGCTTCGCTCACATAGAGATCAAAAGCTTGTCTATTATTTGTGGAATATTCCAGACTGAAATAAAAGAATCTATTTGTCAGTTTTCAAGTCTTGCCTCAGATTCTAAAATGGATTAAATTCCCGACTTTGATTGGGCTATGGTAATGCATAAACTGTTTTAATAAATCTCATTACAGCTGTTGTAGTTCTATTCTGGCTGTTGTTCTTTTCTAAGAGGGAATCCAACACATTTTCTTTTAGTATCATTATGCATTTATCTTTAACAATTTTCCAAATGTCTTCGAGCCAGTTCTCTTTCTCTGTGAAAGAAAATAATCCCCTTACATACTACAGCCAATACCATGTTTCACCAGTAGGGGTCTTCTTTAGTACGATGTGAAGTATCTGTTTGCTGAATGCACATAGGATTTTAAATTTAGGCCAGAGAGGGAATTTCTTGTCTTATCCAACCAAACCCTGTGCAAAAAAACTCTCTCTGGCTCTTTAAAAAAAAGTAAAATGGGATTCTAACAGCTGTACAGCAGACAGTATGTCCCACCTGAGCCATGGAATGTTTAAGTTGATGGTTTCTCACAGAACAGTTGAAATAAAAAAAATAAAAAAAATCCACCCTGTAATTGTCATCTTTGTTAATTTATATTATTTTACATCATGGATCTCCATGAAATGAGAAAAGAATTTATAAAAAAAAAAAAAGTTCTGATGAAACCAGTTATCTTTAAAAGTCTTATAGTTAGTGCAGTGATTTCCACCTATGTGATTGTCATATGTTTTCTCAGTATAAACCCAACTTTTATGAATTTGGCTGCAGCCCCACTTAGATGCAGGCATTACATCAGGTAAACCAAGGAGCTCTCAAAACAAGTCAGGGGCAAACTTCCTGGGATCATTATTTAGATGAGTTTTTATAAACTATATGCAGATCTGAGATTCTTCCGCAACAAACTTTTCAGTCTTTTATCTTCATAGAAATAAAAATATTCTAGATTCAGATTCGTTATCACAATTCATACTATAAGGGTCTACATGCCTTTATTTTTGTCATCTTTTTTTTTTTTTTTTACCTCCAAACCAAAGGGATCCACTTCTAGAAAAAGAAATGCATACAGTCAGGTAAATAAAATAACAACCCATCCTCTGGAAACAACACTCTGGGCTACAACATATTATTTTCAGTTATTTATTTCTCTTGATTCAACTAACATTTTTCCGAGAGAGCTGCTGTGGCAAATAAACAACCTTAAGAGTCACATGCATAAGAACTGAATGAGAGCGGATTATGCCAGTGGAGATAAAAAAAAACTACTATGTGTAAAGTGTATTGTGCCTTAGAGGATGTCAATGTTAGCTGTGGGGAGGCTGGTTAGGAAACTATTGCTTTATGCAGCTTCTGTGAAATAAAAGCAAAAACAATAACCTGAATCAGATGTAAAGAGATTTAGTAAAATCATGTTTGAGGCAAAGCCCTTTAAATTGTTCTGCTGCTCTAGGACACAACACACACAAAAAAATACATCACAGAACCGTATTCAATCAGTCCGACCACATGCTGATCTGTACACTGCAGTATCATTATTCAGTCTGCACCTTGACAAAAGCATCATTCAGAAACAAGGACAGTAAATAAGTTTCCTCTGAAAGGTAGACTGGGTTGAGAAACAACTACAACTGGTTGTTGTTTTTTCTTTATACCCTGGTATTTTTGCACATCAGACTAGAACTCTAATTTGTTTCAGTGTCAAACATTTCAGGTTGATTTTTTTTTAAAGGAAACCAGCTGTGGTGTAACATGCCTAACAGCAGCAGCTTTGTACACCATCCTGTTACCGATCTACATATTAATCCATGTATGCTTCCTGTGAGCATGCTGCTCCAGAGAGCAGCTGAATGAAAAATAAAATAGCAACCGCTGTGATTACAATACAAATCCAAAGTGAAAAATAAATATAGAAATAAATAATTTTAAGTCATGAATAAATAACTGGAGGGTAGCTGGTGAGCTTCATGGCTAATCCCTGCTCTGTGTATCATGCGGTCAATGAAAGCAGCTCAGATTTGGCCATTCAGTGCCAAGAAAAAATATGTGATAACTTAAATTCTTTGACTGAGCTTAAGAATAGCATCTGATTATGTTTTTTTTTGCAGCAGTTAATATTGCATTCTGTGTTATAGGTTAGGGGACTGCACAGATGGAGTCAGGCAATAGTTAGTGTTAAAATTATCTCCAGCTTCTACAGCGGGTCAGCGTTAGATAAGGAACCCCACTGGGGATCGCAGATGGATGGATCTTTCAAGCAGAGGAGAGACTCCATTATGCTATGAGGTGTGGATTAACTTTTTAAAAATGATCAGCTGTACTGCATGATTACTGCTGCCGTCTATCGTAAGTGCTGCAGATATCTTCCTGGGTGGTCCAGTTAATGTTGGACACGAAGCTACAGGGTAATGCATCAGATAAAACCAGCCGCCTCCATATTTCAACCAGACCAAAGAGAACATTTATTTTTATTGTGCTTTTCATTTGCCTACAGTGACTTCGGAGCTTAATGTACACAAAAAAAGAATGTACATATATCACATTTCCAGGGCCATGCATTAATGCTTCAAAAAAACAAAAAGAAAAAAAAAAGATGCTTAGGAATCAATACCTGATGCTGCTATATATATATATTTTTCTTTTTTCTTACATGTAAAATTAAATATAACCAATATCTGATGCAGACTTTTTCTGTTCACACCATTCAACTTAGTGAAACATAACAGATGAAGAACAGAGGACCAAAACTGTCATCAAATTAATATACATAATTTTTTTTTTATATTTTTAGCCGAACGGGACATTGTTTTTTTAAATACAAGAAATTTAAAAATTTTGGTAATGTGTTACCAAAAAATAAATAAAAGTAGCATAAACAAGTTTGACATTTACTAATTTTTTACAATTCATGTGCGCTAGTGTGTTGTAATTGGATTTTAATTGTCACCATGGTTACCAATCAGAAATTAGTGGATGGATTTTAATTTAGCATAAGACCATCCTTGATGAGTAGCTAATTATGTTTTTTTTTTTTATGTTTATTTTGTCTTCTGTCCTCAGATCCATTAGATAATGAGGGACATCTGTTTTTTATTGATGGATTTAATATTATGTCTTTTTTATTTAACATAATTTTAAATTGTAAGCTTTTGTAAATCTGAAAAACTGAAGGTTTTCTTAATAAAATTTAAAAAATCCCAACAGTCTTCCTGTAAAATGAATGCAGACAGTAACTGAGCTTTGTTGTGTAACATTTTAGGAATTTTAATAGTTTTGCATTCACACATAAATACAATATTTCCAGTGCATTTGTCAAAATCTTCCCTCTGATTTCTTCACAAAAAGAATATCCCCCCCAAATAAAGTTTTTAAGTGCTTAAAGGAAGTTAAGTTTGGATTTTTATGATTCTTCATTTCAAACCAAGATGCTAAAAATGTTAATTTGCTGCAAATGATGATGGTGTAGCATTGACAATGATAACCCAACAGAAAATGAAGAAGAAGAGTCAGGATAGTTAAACTAGCAGATCAAGTGTTCATAAAACCCCTAAACCAGTTAAATTAAACAACAGCAAATATTTGTAGTTATTAAAACAACATTCCTTCATTGCTGAGAGTGCTCTTTTTTTAAATTTTTTTTTTAGTTTTGTTATTTCTTTAATCCAGCACGTCCTGGAGCTCTTGTTGTGTGCAATGTGCAGATCATGGTCCGTTTGTTGAAGATCCTTTCCATTTTCATTTGAAGATGACAAAAAGTTCTTGAACCTGCTTGTTTGCTGCGATCTGCTGGCTGTATGCTTTTCTTTTTGTGCTGTCTTTTTTCCCTCCTCAGAGACAGTTCCGGCCGTTGTCCTCCAAATAAATCTTGTAAGGAATAAGTATCCTTTGCTCTTCAGTGGTAGACTCGAAGAACGGCTGCACCCTCCATCTCTGCTGTGCTTTGATATGATATATTTGACATGTTTTTGGTCCACATTTGAAAAAATGTCAGATTTCTAACCCCTGCCATACTTCATTTTTTTTTCTTCACTTAGATTTTAAGACTTCAGTGCTAAAGTTACAGTTCTACAGAAACTTCATAGTTTCCCACCACCATAGATGCAAGGCCAACCACCTGCAAAACAAAAACAATTTTGATAAACTGGAAAGAAGTCATAACATTTCATGACTGGTGGAGTTATTTAAATATATTTAAATAACTCCACCAGTCATGA